ACACAATAAAAAACTCAAAAACAACAAAACAATAGATCAGTTAAGAGGTTCAGAATTTAAGGCTAGGAATAAAAGGGATAGAGTAGAGATTATCTGGGGGAAATATGCTACTTCCTGTTCGTTATGAATTCTCTAAAACTGTGGGCTGTTGACAGGGCTCCCAAGAGCCCGCATTCATCCACTAGACAGCTTGCATCCCACGTGCTTTTCCTCGAGTGCCGTTGTCTTCCTCAATTGATGACGTCCTTGTTACATCCCACGTGCACATGTTGTCTACTAACCTCATTTAATCTCTTCAGCCCTTTGAGGGAGCATTGTTACCCATGCTTTTGGATGAAAAAGCTTGACGTGGGTTTGACCTTAAACCCAGTTACCACATGATAGCTGGGATCTCGAACCACATGATAGCTGGGATCTCGAACCACATGATAGCTGGGATCTCGAACCACATGATAGCTGGGATCTCGAACCACATGATAGCTGGGATCTTGAACCACATGATAGCTGGGATCTCGAACCACATGATAGCTGGGATCTCGAACTGGGGACTCAGATACTCTTCGGTTCTCATCTGTCTTGCAGTGTTGATGTTGACTTTGCCTCTGAAGTTAAACGAGATTCACGGTGTCTGAGGGAAACTGTTGCTGAGGGCTTGGCATCTGTTCCCATGGTCCGAGAGTGGCACTAACCCTGAGAAGACAATTGTCACCATTGGGCATTCCAGATCACGCGAGTATTCAGAGCCCTGTGGCACAGTTTGAGTGTTAAGAAGGAGGTGGCTAAGTAGAACAACTGTGCAGTGTGCTACTTCCCGTTTGGATGCTTACAAATGAAGTCACTGTCCCTCTGTCCTGAGTGATAATACACGGTGGGCCCTAAGCAGCGTATTGCAGCTTCTGCCCGTGCATGGCTGGTGTTTGAGCACATGCCAGTGATTTCCAGGCTGTGCGTTTTCTGTCAGAGGTAATCTTCCTTGGCTGATGACAGTCTGAGGAGCTGTTACAGTTCTCTGCTTCTTCAGTGAATGGTGATCCACAAGAAAACGGTGATGCGCAATAAACATGAGCATAGCACTGAGCAAGGAAGCGGATAATTAGCTGGCTGGGAATACACAGTCCCAAATGGAAAAGTCCCACCAACGGCAGCTACAAAGGCTGTGAGAAAGGAAGGGTGCCAGCAGAGATACCCAAGGCCCTGAGTGCGAGAGCAGAGAATTGGAGGGAAGCGGGCATGATAAGACATCTAGGGGCTAGTTCTGGAAGTCTGGAGAATTCTGAGAAATAAACTTGAAGAGATAGAGTCATGGACCTGAGCTGCAGAAGCCGGAGAACTTAGACCTTAAGGCCACACACAGCTCCTCTGGATTCACATCCTTCCAGAGGGTGTCTTAGATTTGTAATTTTGACTATCTGGTCTACCTTGGATGGGGTCATCTTAACTGATACTCTTGGCTTAATTCAACTGCCCTTCATAATCCATGATTCTTGGACAGTTAAGTTAAGATCTAGAGGCTAGGTGGCCCAGGGCGGGTAGAAGCCACCCAGCAGGTACCACCACAATGAACAGACATGTAATGGAGAGGTGGGAAAGTTAGAAGAGCAGAGCAGTGTGCGTACTAGGGAGAGAGGCAGGACTGGAGATGTGGTGGTGGTGAATGGTGAGAGAGAGGGCTGAGGTCTGCATGCTGTCACTACCCAGCAGGATTGGAGGGATGATGTACAACAGCCTGGAACTTATGCAGATGCAGACTCAGCCCCTGAACCTGCTGCAAGTCTCGGGATCCCCCTGGCGCTGGGCGACAATGGAGGCCCAAGATGGGGAAAGGTTCATGTTCTGGATTGGACCTCTTTGTAAGACTGCCATGGTCCTCGACACCAGAGGCCATGTTGGTGTCAATGGTCCATGCTGCTGCCCCAGGCCATGATGAAGCCTGAGATCCATGTGGATGTAAGCAGTCTGTGTCACTGCTCAATGCCTTGGTGATGTCATTGGGCTTTGCCACCTCAGGGAGCCATGCTGATGTGAGTGGCATGTGTAGCATCTGAGACCATGTCGAAGGACATGAGTGGGTCAATGGTCTTGATATGGCCAAGGGTAGTGTTGATGTCCGTGGCCTCTGTTACCACCACCAAAGCCCAAGCGGATGTCAATGGTCAGAGCTACCGCCTGAAGCCAAGTTAATGTCCCTGGGCACAGGAGAGCTGGCCTCGCCTCTTGGTGGCCCACAGCACTGCAGTGCTGGTGGTGGTATGGGCATGGGAGAGCTAACCCTGCCCGACTCTGGCCAATGCATGGCTCTCCTCAACTGATGGCTTCTGGTGTGGATACAGGTGGAAGAAAACTCATCCTCCCTTGGGCTAGGAGTTTGACCACACTCCAGTGAATATATGGACGACCCAAAATTGACTTGTTTTTTCTTGTGTGTGTGTGTGTGTGTGTGTGTGTGTGTGTGTGTGTGTGAGAGAGAGAGAGAGAAAGAGAGAGAGAGAGAGAGAGAGAGAGAGAGAGAGAGAGAGAGAGAGAGAGAGAGAGAGAGATCATGGGAAGGGGCAGATATGGAAGACTGGGAGGTGAGTGCAGTGTGGCACAGGATGTAAGATTCCTGAATCATCAATAATAATGATAATCCTTTAATAAATGATACCCTTTAAAAAAATATCTAGAGACTAGACCGGCTAGGTGATGCTTTTCCTCACAGCCCTCTCACCTTCCCAGGTCCAGATTCCTCTTCTGCTTTCTCCCACCATCTCCTACAACCTACTTGCAAAGGTCCTGAGTGGAGTCCTTGTAATAGCAATGTTTTGTCGGTGGTCCAAGGGTGCTTGCCTGTGGCCCAGATCTATGGAGAGCCAAAGCACAAAGTATTCCTAGAGAGGTGGGTGATAGATGGAAGCTGAGGACCAAGAAGCGTCTTTGAGCTAAGCCTTTGGGAAGATGTCCTCAACATATCTGCAAGTTGATGACTGTTCCAGAAAGCCCTCCATCGTGGAGCATCAGCAGAGAAGGGCCATGCTGATAGGGATGGGAGTATTTAAAGCCTTAAGCTGTGTTTCCCTGCCTCTGGGTCTAGCTGACTGGGTAAGAGTTAGTTAGGTATTGGTCCAGCCCGACTGAGGTCTGTGTGGCCAGCCAGAGCTCAGTATGAATGTTGTTCTTTTACCCTCTTCTGAGCAGGGAAGCCAGTCTTCCAGTGCTGCGGAGAAGACACAAAGGTCAGAGAAAATACCCTTATCTAAAGCCACGGGGAAGGAGTTAGATTGGGAGCCTGTCTGCCTGGTTCCCAAGGCCATTTTTGGCTTGATACACTCTTCTGGAGGCAACCCCTGCTGGCCTGCAGCCCACTCTTCGGCACGGGTGACCTCTCCTGGGATGCTTCTGTCCCACAGCCAGACTCAAGCCCCAGGCTCCTTCCATGGGGGAGTGGAGCTGGGGCTCCTTGAGAGTGTTTTTTTCTTTGCAGGTCTTCAAAGAAGAAGATGAATTTCCTGGAGCCCAGGCCTCCTTTTTGCCTGCTTCTTGGTACTCTGTGAGTTCCCACCAAGCTTTCTCCTCACATTGCCCCAGGGGGATAGTTCTATAGCATACAGCACTGTGCGGGGCATAGGGATGCACTGGGCAGTGCCCCTGACCTCCAGGCGCTCACACGTAGGAGAGGGCGTGGAAATAGCTCTGTAAGTCACAGGCCATGATAAAAACAGCAACTGGGATCCAAACCAAGCACTGTGTAAATGGGGGTGGGCCCAGGAAGTTTGCTGCCATTTCATTGGCCCAGGGACAGCCGGCATGGGTGGAGCACTGGTCAGGGAGATGGGGAGGCAGTGATGTCACCATGTGTCTTAGGAGCTCCCAGAGCAGGTGAGTGTGGTGTGATAGATGGAGCTGATAGGACTGGAGCCAAGGGCTGTCACTGGAGAAGAGGCTGGGAAGTCTAGAGTCTGGGCCCCCTCTGGGGTGGATCCCCTTTGGCTCTTAAAGGTTTCCTCAAGGATCATTTGGAATAGCCAAGAAGAAAGGCTCTGCTTACAGGCGTGTAGAAGATGCGCCTTCTGACCCAGCAGCCCAGTGCTGGTTAAAGATTCCCCGATTCCCCAGGGGTAAGGAGGAGGGCTGAGATGAGATTGTCCGGTATTCACAAGAGGTAGTAGGGCCTATCAGAAAGGAGAAGTGTTTGCTCGGTGACCCTCAGCCGAACAGAACGTCCCTTGAAGCGTGTGTGGGAGCATTTGAGAAGTACAAGGCATTCCTTCTTTGTGTGGTACGGGCTACTGCCACTTGAGCTAGACTAGCAGAGAACATTAACTACATCTGTGGAGACCGTGTAACTGCTGCCCTGCTTCCTGCATCAGGGAAGAGAAAGGCCCACGTTTCCATGGCAATTTTGTAGGATTCTTGGTCCCTTTGAAAAACTATTCAGTATTGAAATAAGCGTAGAACTTTGGGTTGGAGACTTACTCCAAGGCCCTGGCTCTGCCACCCACCCATCACTTGACCATGACAGTTCCTTACTGTCTCTCAGCTTCATGGCCTCATGGGGAAATGGGGCCCTTTGGAATCTGACTGCCTACTTTGCTGAGGGCTGTCCGTCGGTGACTGGGACCTGGTGCGGCAGGTGGGATTAGGATGTGGGGAGTACTGACGGGACTTCTCAGGCCTGTGCTTTGCTCCCTTCTTTCTGGTAATTTGCTTGCTGGCCCTGGGATCCCTTGTGGGCTTCTTGGCTGATTTGCCCTTCTTTCTTCCTCGGTGTTGGGATGTTCTAGGCTCCCTCTGTCTCTCCTCACTCTCAGGATTTCACCCAGCTCCTGGTTTAAAATATCTATACTCTTAATCCCATCACTGGGGAGGCAGAGCCAGGTGGATCTCTGTGAGTTCAAGGCCAGCCTAGGCTACCAAGTGAGTTCCAGGAAAGGTGCAAAAGCTACACAGAAACCCTGTCTCGAGAAAAAAAAAAAAAAAAAAAAAAAAAGAATAAAGAAATAATAAATATATCTATACTTTTAAGCTCTAGCACCTTTGTCTTTACTTGGGATTCTCACACTGCCACCCCACCACATGACCTCTCCAACACCCTACATGCGTAGTCCCTTTAAATCCCAGCAGGCACCCTGAATTCCCGTCCACAGTTTACGGTCCTGCCCACTTTCCCAGGAGGCATCCTGCCTCCTCACACTCTCTCTGGCTGAAGTCTCAGAGGTCATTCCAGATGCCATGTTTCCTTCACATCCACATCTACCACGTTACCGGTTGTCTCGCCTTCCAAACAGCCGCAGTCTAACCGCTGGCCGCCTCCGCTGTCACTACCAGGGTCCGACTGCGTCTCCCTTCACACAGACCACAGCTGGAGCCTTGTAGCATCACTGTCCTGGGCCCACTAAAGCAAAGGACCTTAGTGCGGATGTGCCGTGGTGTTGGCCTTCACTGGCTGAGCTGGCTTTTCCTGGCAGACACCTGCAGTGTTGGAGGGACCGTTATGGTTCCTCTCTCAAACCGGCCTAAACTGCTTAAAGGGTTGGTTCTGAGGACTGTTTTTGTGGTGAATTTGTTCATGGCAGTGGTGACTGTCCCATGAGGTGTATGAAGGGTGAGGCTTCTCTGAGCAGGGGCAATTTGGGGTGCTGGCTGTCCAGTCAGGTTTCATACACATGTGTGTTTGGGGTGGGGGGCTTACAGACAAGAATTAAAGGTCTTTAATAAAGAAATAAAATCAAAAGTCCAAAATGCTGAGTGCTGTTCTTCCATGAATGCTGTTTCTGAGGAAGATGATGATGGGTGTTTTTTATTTTCTTCTTTTGTTAATAATTTCTGACTGTAAAAACAATGACCACATGCTGGAAATCACTTTAGGGAAATGTTTGGTAACAATGAAGCAGCAATGAGGGTCGTCCCAGCAAATCACCCCAAGTTGCAAACACACAAGCCTGCCGGCTTCTATTTAGAGAGTGTTAATGTGATTAGAATGATGGTAGGTCTGGTTTGTGAGCTTGTCATCTCTGGGCCCTCATCATGTTCTCTCTGGACTTCATGGAGTCCCAAGAGGTTCTCAGCCAAGCAGAAATGATAATAAAATGAAGGCGAGAACAGTTTGGATTGTTTAGTCTAACAGAAATTACGGCTTAAGCATTTCTGGGCAAGTAAAGCTTTTTAGATGAAGATGGTGATCAGTTCTTAGCCATCTCCACAAAGTACAGAGTGAGAAGGGATGGCCCTCAACTGACGAAGAACCCGAAGGACAGATCCTTGCCAGGAGGCTGAGATGACCCTGCACGGGTGGGTAGAGCCTGTTAGTCCACGCAAGGCTGCACATGGGAAATGCCATCTGTCCCAGCTGATGCTCCCAAGCCAGCTGGCCAGATGGTTCCTTGCAGTGCTGATCCCATGATATCTTGATGAAGGTGTAAATTCGCATCATCCCTTCCTGAACAACCAGTCCTGGAACTCAGACGTCTATGTTCTTAACCAGGACTGGCCTGGGAGCTGGTGGCCATCTGTGTGGGAGCACAGCCAGAATAGCACTCCTCTTGCTGTGTCACGCTGTGTGCAGTCCTGCCAAGTGACAATCACTTTTGGTCATCTTGAGCCCAATGGGGTGTGAGTGATACTCTTATGATCCTCCTACCCCCAACGGATCAATGTCTTCATCTAAAATTCATCGCTTGGAGACATTCAATCCATAATTTTTATGTGTGTGTATATATATATATATAATTCCTTCCTGATTCTGTCTGATCTATCAAATAGGATTGAAGGTGTTTTAGAAAATTAGTATAGAATTTTCTCTCTTGAGGAATTCTTAAGAAAACTTACCCATGGCCTGAGAGGTGGCTCAGTTAGAGCATTTGCTTAGCATGTATTCGGTCCTAGGTTCAGTCCCCAGAACTGCATAAATTGGCGTGATGATGCAGGCCTATACACCCAGCACACAGGAAGTAGAGGTGGGAGATTCAGGAGTTCAAAGTAATCCTTAGCCGCATAGCAAGTTTGAGACCTGGGCTACATGAAACCTACACGAGCTATATGAAACCTACACGAAGCTACATGAAACCTACACGAAGCTACATGTTTTGGGTCCAAAAAACCCAAAACAACAAAGAAGACTTAGCTGAAACTTAGAAATGAGGCTAAAGGGCATGTCATCTCAGTGAGCTACTGGGACATTGGCAGGCTTGGCCAAGAATAACTTCATTCCAGAGAATATGCCTCCTTGACTTTGCTTTTCATGGGTTGATGAGTGTAGGTGTGGTAAACATTCATGCTACCTTGTTGATTTCTGTCTTTTAAAAAAGGATAACCAAGAAGTTCAAGGCTCATTCCTTTGTAGGGCGTTAGCCGGCTTTCTCTGTGATCTGGCAATCATTCTAGCACTGAGTTGTGAATGTTTGTAAAATCCCCTGAATGCTCTCTGAACCTTCTACCCTGTGCTGCTGCTTGCTTAGTGCTGCCCTCCCTATGGAAGAAGGGAGGAAACGCACAATGGGTTCTCATGGTGCAGGATGAGGCAGATCCGTGCCATTGTTTGCAGGAAGATGGGTCAGGTATCAAGAAAGCGGTGGCCAGGCAGCTGCTTGGTGAGTGAGATATCGGTGGGGTTTTTCCAGTCATAACAATTAGCTAAGAACAAGATCGGCAGAAGAGCGTGGGCAGAGCCGAGGCCACCAGGATGGAGGAGGAGGTTTCTAAGTGCTGTAATTGTGATTAGGACGCTGAACCAAGAACCCTGGTGGGTTTGCATGTCACACTGGAGAAAGGTACTTCAGAGGCAGAGAAATACGAGGGAAGAGAAAGTTCTGGTACAACTGTGGGAGAAACTGTCCAGGTGGGTACGAGGTGGGTGGGGAGCAGGTGAGGCCGAGAGTGGTGGGGAGCCACAGGGGCTGTCTGTCTGTGGAGACACTGAACGCTCCCTGGTGCGACAGGCCCTGGAGGTGGCAACAGGAGCATTTGTTCCTGAGAGGCCTGTGGGGAGAAAGGAAGCTTGAAGCAGAGCCCGCCCTAGCGTGGCCTGATTCGGAAGTCAAAAAATGGCTGGGATGAAGCGGAGAGTTTACCACAGGGGAGTCAGGAGAACTGGTGGGCACAGGAGCCAACATCTTGCTTCCTACCCAGGGACTGGTGTGATAAGAAGCAAATGTACGAAGACACTGGAGAGAGGCCCACGCACTGTAAAAGATGACTGAGAGGGCCAGAGGGACCAGGGGTCTAAGGACATGGTTGAGGACATGGCTGACCTCCGAAAGAAACAGAGGTACAGACACTCACTAGCTTATGTGGCAGTTCACCGGCCACACAACCCTAGAACTCTTCGGTAACAGATCCGTTCCCTTTAGGAGATCACAGTGGGAGGGAACAGAATGACCTCACCTCAGCCATAGGAAGCCCGACACACGGCCTTTCGTCTGCAGGGCCCATTTTACCCCAATGACTAAGCGCTACTCCTTCCCAACCCAATTGCTCACAGGCCCCATGTGAACCTGGCTGATGCAGTACACTGCACTGTAGACCCCTGACTTGGGGTCTGCTCTGAAGAGAGTGTAGGGCTCCTACTGAAGGCCTGTAACACGCGCGCGCGCGCACACACACACACACACACCACACACACATGCTGCTTCCCTATAGCTAGCTGGGGGTGGGAGGAAGTAACCTGTCAGTCAGTCACCGCACAGTGACAAAACAGAATTAGAAAGCACTCCCCATGCAAACCCTGTCAACTGCTTAAGTGAATATAAGATTCAGTGTATGTGCATGATGCTAGTCCCAGCTGCCTAAGGGGTTCGTGACAGGAGGACCCCTTGATCCCAGGTGCTGGAAGCCAGTCTGGGGGACATAGTGGGACCCTGTCCTGCAGAATGAAAGTGTAGCCACCCTTGGCATATCTGTAGATCCTTGTTTTCTGTCACATTGATGGCCCTCCAAGGCTGCGCTGAATTCTTCAGGGCACGCTTGTTTAGGCTTCTGGAGAGAAGTTTGTGTCTATGATTCATTTTGTTTTTCTTCTTTTCTCTGCAGACCGACGGAAGACTTCCCGGCTTCAGGGTTTTGGGGGAGGCTTTGGCCATGGCTACCCAGAGTGCTTCTCTGCAGTGCCCTGACCTTACTTTCTCTGGTTTAGAAAGAGAACAGGAGAAACCTCTCCCTTTGGAATCAAGTCGGTCCCTTCAGCGCTCAAGCAGGCTAGCAGAGGATGTGGCTGTCTCACATGGCGCTGTCACGCTCTAAGTCCTTAGGTTTGAACCCAGCTTTTTACTGTTTTCTTACCGTGTTTTGTGCAGTGCCGGGCTGATGGAGTGTGTTCTGCAGGGTGCGTTTCTAGGCATTTTCGGTGTTGTGTGGGAGTCACAGGGTGGACTGGCACAAACTAAGATGGCTAGAGTGCCATCGGGTAATTGATCTTACAGGACACTTTCATAGGTGCCGTCTGTCATTGACTAAGTGTTAGGTGTAGCTGTACTTAAACACAGGCTCATGCATCTACCTTCATTTCTGGGAGAGAAAATGGAATCACGGAAGAGGGCCCAGCTCCTACCTGAAATCCGTTCAGTTTAGGGGATGGGCTTTGACCAAGCTGTTTCGATTATGCTTCAGTTTGTGCAGATGAAAGGGAAGCAGATCTTCCTGATGCTCTCCAGGAAGGGTGTGGGTGCTCAGCGTCCCCCCCCCCCCCCCCGTAGTCCACTTGCTCTTCAGTTGCTTGAGAAAACGTACTACCAGTGTAGAGACACCAGAAGCCTAGACACAGCGCTGTCGTGAATGTGAAGTGATGTAACAGCTGTTCAAAGTGGCCCGGCAGGTCCTCAAACTGTCACACCTATGCTGGTGTACCATCCAGCAGCTTCAGTCCCAGAAGAACTGAAAAGCATCCACCCGGAAGCCTGTACATAAAAGTTCCCATGGCATGTTCATAACAGCCGGAGTAGAGACAACCTGAATGCCCCTCAGCCGATGAACAGACACAGTTATCCAGTGACCTAGCCATATGATGGTGAGTTATCTGCAGTGAAGAGAAATGCCAGTTTGGCACAGCGGCCAATGCCTATAATTCCAGCACTCCAAAGGTGCAGGCAGGAGAAGCGGGAGTTCAGGAGTGTGCAGTACACCATAAACAGCAAGAGCGATCCCACCTCAACACGGTTGGAAAGGTGAGAACAGACTCCTGGAAGTTGTCCTCTGACCCCCTGCGCACACACACGTGCACACACGCGTACACACTATTACTACTAATAATAAATAAAAACTTTAAAAACAAAACCCCCGATTAATGACTTAAAGAGGGATGCAGTACTGATACATGTTGTAACATAGATCAACCTTGAAGACCTATCCACAGAAAGAATCCAGTCCCCCAAAGGCCGCATATTACATGATTACATCTAAATGAAATGTGCCAGAGGCAAGTCCATAGGCAGAAGGGAGATCCATTCTTTAGTAATGGAACTGTTTTAACTCTGGCTGTGGTGATGGCTGCCCCTGTTGTGACCACACTAAAAGCAATGGAACTGTACAAGAAAAGTTGTGGACAGTCTGGCTTCTGAACTGTAGCTCAGGAGAGCTGTTTGTTTGTTTGTTTGTTTGTTTGTTTTTTAAGAGAAGGGTCCTAAAGCTCCTGATGTCGACATAGTCATGATAAAAGACGTGCGTACTGAACTTCTTGACAACATGGCAGTGATAGAAGACATGGGAATAATTTCAGCTTGTTTGGGGGCTTAATTTGGATTTTCCCCGGGGAATTGGGTTGTGTGACACCGAAGCGAGTCAGCACCTCTGACTTAGGGTCTTGGGGAGGAGACATGAACGCCTATGATACTCACTCAGAATGTGTCTCAGACTATGCTTGACAGTCTACAGATTTACAGAGCTGGATGGGGTGGGGTCGAGCCATGCATTTTGCCTCCTGAGATCTCGCACTCATGAAACCACATCAACTTAGGGAAGAAAACGAAACAAAACAGCATCAGCACACAAAATGTGTGTGCTGCATCGTTAGGTCATCAGCCTTTTATTCCAAGGACCGCCTCACTGGGAATTTTAGCAAGGCATTTAATCCTAGAAAGGAAAATTTGCCATTGGGGTGGTTTCCACTTTTCATCAAGGACCCTGTTTATACCCAAACATGGGATAACAATGCCACCCCTCACCCCCACCCAGGAGGGTGGTTTCTAGTTTGCCACCCCCCACCCAGGAGGGCGGTTTCTAGTTTGCCACCCCGCAGCCAGGAGGGCAGTTTTGAGTTTGGAGGGCACAGCCACACGTCCATGTTCTAGTTTTGATCCTTCAGATTGACTTGTTTCCTGGTGCTTCAGGAGACAGTTTTAGGGTGAAGGGATGGGTAGAAATTAGTGGCACTTGTGTCTTGTGCTAACTGGATAGTTTACCTACAAACCAACCAGATCTAAACCCCACTGGTGAGGAGCCAGGCTTGGGAAGGGCATTGCTTCAGACCGACAGGCTAGCCCCAGGCATCATTTTTAGTCTGATCAATCCTGTGGTAAATCTAGTTTCTAAAGGGTGTGTTGATGGGCTTGAAGTACATTTATCCTCTGCCCTTCATTATTTCCGAGAGTCACCCCTCTTCCCTCTGTGATCTGCTTGCAGGTTGTCCCTGGGCTAACATTTTTACAAGCCTGTTCTCTATATTCACCTTCTGACCTGGCATGATGCCTGATTTTGAATGCCAACTTGATTGGGTTAAGAAGTGCCTGCTGTGGAATAGTCTGTCTAATCACTGTGAATAGGTATTACTCTCACTGGCCAATAGAAAGCTAACAGGCCGGTAGCCAGGCAGGAAGTATAAGGTGGGACAGCCAGACACAGAGGACTCTGGGAGGAGAAAGGGCTGAGTCAGGAGAGACGCTAGCCAGCCAACTGCCCAGGAAGCAGAATGTGTAGAAAATGAGGTAACAAGCCATGAGCCACATGGTAAAGCATAGATAAGAAATACAGATTAATTTAAGTGTAAGAGTTAGCTAGTAACAAGCTTGAGCTATCGGCCAAGTATTTATAATTGATATTAAGCCTCTGTGTCGGTTATTTGGGAGCAGGCAGTCAGGACAGGAAAACTCTGCCTATGAAGTATACCTTTGGGCATGTCTGTGAGGGTGTTTTTAGAGGGTTAACTGAGGAGAGAAGGCCTACACCATCCCTCAGATTAGGGGGCTTGATAAAAGCATAAAAAGCGAAGAGCATACTGAGTGCGGGCATTCAGCTCTCTCTGCTTTCTGATCGGTCCCTATGTGAATAAGCAGCCTCATGTTCCTGCCACCATAGCTGTTTTGGTTTGCATAAGAACGGTCCCCATAGGTTCATAGATCTGAATGCATAGTCACCGGAAGTGACACTATTTAAAAGGATTAGAAAGATTAGGAGGTGTGGCAGAAAGTGGAGAAAGTGTGTCACTGGGGGTGGGCTTTGAGGTTCCAAAGCCAATGCCAGGCCTAGACTCTCTCTCTCTCTCTCTCTCTCTCTCTCTCTCTCTCTCTCTCTCTCTCTCTCTCTCTCTCTCTGCCTAGCCTGTGGATCAGGATGTAATGCTCAGCTAATGCTCTGGCACCTGCTGCCATGATGGTAATGGACTAAACCTCTGAAGCTGTAAGCCAACCCCCAATTAAATGCTTTCTTTCATAATAGTTACCTTGGTCACAGTCTTTCTTCACAGCAGTAGAGCAGTGACTAAGACAACCTAAAGCTGTTTCTACCTTTATGCTTTCCCCAACGTGATAGTCTGTCTCCCCCCCAAAATCCATGAGTCAAAACAACCCCTCCTCCCTTCAGTTGCTACTTGTCAGGGGTCTGGTCACGGCAGTGAGAAAAGGAACTAATCCAGAAACTTGGTTCCAGGAGTGGGGCCCTTAGGACAAGCTTGTGGGAATAGTGTGAAAGTTTCTGGAGCTGTGGATTACAGAAGTCTTAGAATTCTGAGTTTGATGGGAGAATTCCTATAGGAGTTCAGAATCCCAGAATCCCAGTAGAAATGTGGACAGTGAAAGCCAGGCTCATAAAGTGTCAGAGGGAACAAGGACTGTCCCAGGAACTGGGCCAGAAGCCATTCATGGAACACTTCTGGATGAGTCTGGCTGTGTCTGCCCATGTTTTAAAATTCTGGGTGAGACTGATTTGAGAACCAATGGTCTAAGGTGTTTGATGGAGGGAATTTCGAGACAGCACAGGATTCAGGCAATGGCTGTCTGTTGCTGGCTGATTTTAATAAAGCTTATAGTGAAAATTCAAATCAAAAAAATAGAACCAGGAAGGGGCATGACCACTATTAAAACTGTGGGCAGGGCCGACAAGGAAGCCGTTGTTACTAAAGAGACAAGCACCATTAAGAAAAGCTTTGCACTTTGCCCTGAGATAATAGGCATGGTGCTGTAAACAGAAGAGCTCGGAGTTAACTGTGCAAACTCATTTGAAAAGAGAATTCCTACACAGAGACCGGCCCCAAGGGCCCCCTGTTCAAGTCTGGGGAAATGTTTCACATCCAGTCAGCAAAGCACACAGAGGCCACTGCAGCTCACAGAGGCCACTGCAGCTGTGGTTGGTCCAGGAGGGGCCAGACATGATCAGAGATGGCAACAACCCATGATGTCATCCTCCTGGTGCTGGCTTTGTAGGCGTAAAAGATGCAAGAGTGAGGATGTCATGAAGCCTTGCACCAAGGTTCCAGAAAGCCCCTGAGACCAGGCGACATGTATCAGGGTCACACATGTTTCTGGAATTTCTGAGTGTCAAGCTGTGGAGATGAAACATAAGTTGTAGTAGAGACGTGAGATATTAGAGTTACAGGGGCCATGGAGCATCCCCGAGGGGAGCTGCAGAGACCTGAGATGTTGGGGTTACAGGGGCCATGGAGCATCCCCCGAGGGAAGCTGCAGAGACCTGAGATGTTGGGGTTACAGGGGCCGTGGAGCATCCACCGAGGGAAGCTGCAAAGATCTGAAATGCTGGAGTTACAGGGGCCGTGGAGCATCTACCGAGGGAAGCTGCAGAGACCTGAGATGTTGTGTTGTGTCCAGGTTACAAGACCCCCAAGCAAGACTACCACAGAGCTGATATCTGATTCAAGCACACAGGGGTTTATTAATAACAAAGCAAGCCCGGGCTTTGTCCATGTCCAACACTCAACACAGTGGGTGGAGGAGGACGGCCCCAGCACTCACTTGAAGGGGTTTATATAGGAAAAGTTTACATGCAGAGAGTTACATTTCTTGGGCTTGGACGAGGGGGCTCGGGTGAGGTAGTTTTTTGAAGTTACTGGCTGAACTATAAGTATGAGGTTACTGATGGCTAACAGGATTCAGGGTATCTAAGAGACATAATTTTTTTACTCCCCATGTCCTGTTTTTGCTGAGCCCAGGATATATACATTCAGATTTATTGTTCCAGTCCTATTTTTCCATAAGTTCAGTTTCTGGTCAGTTGAGTCCATTACTCCCCATATCCTGTTTTACCAAGTCCAGGATATATAGATTTATTGTTCCAGCCTTATCTTCACACCAGTTCAACCTCTGGTCAGTTCTAAAACTGCTGGTCAGCAAATACCTTTGGTGGGGGGAGTGTCTCTCAAGAGGGCTACTGATTTTTCCCTTTCATTTGGAGTTACAGGGGCCATGGAGCATCCCCCGAGGGAAGCTACAGAGACCTGAGATGTTGGGGTTACAAGGGCCATGGAGCATCCCCCGAAGGAAGCTGCAGAGACCTGAGATGTTGGGGTTACAGGGGCCATGGAGCATCCCCCGAGGGAAGCTGCAGAGACCTGAGATATTGGGGTTACAGGAGCCATGGAGCATCCCCCGAGGGAAGCTACAGGCATAAAACAGAGCCAGCCTAAGAGAATGACCACATGTGTGGCACATGGCTGAGCTGGAGAGGTGGAGATTCCCAGGCCTGCTGGAACCCAGATGATGCCACCAGCACCCCAGGTACCAGATGGAGAAGTCCAGGACTTACCTGCTCTTCAGTCTTGTTTTAGTCTGCCTCTCCTTGCTGTGTTCCTGTTGGCTCTGTTGAATAGGGATGTTTACTTCCTGCCATTTGATGGAGAGAGAGAGAGAGAGAGAGAGAGAGAGAGAGAGAGAGAGAGAGAGAGAGAGAGAGAGAGAGAGAGACACTCACAATTAAGAGGGTTTTCTCCAATGTAATATTTTTATTGATTATTTGGGAAATCCACATAATGCACCTCAATCACACTCACGTCTTCCCAGGCCCTTGTGATCTCCCCAAAGAAAGAAGAAAAGGAAAAAGAAAAATAGGTACAAGTCCATTTTGTGTTGCCATACACTCACTAGAGCATGGTCAGAGTCCCAGTGGCCAGCCCTAAAGAAAACCGAGTCCTTCCCCACCCCCACCCTGCAGAAGCCATCAGCTGTGAAGAGCTGCACCACAGGATCCTTATCACAATTTTTAAGAGTTCTCTTCAGTGGCTTCCTGTGTAGACTGTTTCTTTTTTTCCCCTTAAGTCTCAGAAGAGACTTTGGACTTTGGCTTCTGAAACTTGGACGAGTATAAGGACTTAAAATTAACTGGAAGTATTTTGCATTATGAGGAAGCCATGTGCTTAGCTTGCAGGGGCCAGGGGTGGAATGTTATGATTTGGAAGTGAATGTCCCCCATAGTCATGCGTTTGCGAACTTGGTTCTCAGCTGGTGGCACTGTTTGGGGAGGTTGTTGGCCCCTAGGGGGCGGGACCTAGTTGGAAGCGTAGGTGGCTGAGGGCTGAGCTTCAGACCTGGCTGTCTGCTTCTTGTTCTACCAAGACATGATGAGACAAGCCATCCAGTCCTGTGCTCCCACACCACAGAGTCACCTTCCTCCCTTAAGTGCTCTAGCCAGGCATTTTCTGTGGTGAGAAAAATGGTACACAGTTTGGGTGTGTTTGGGTCATTATGGCAAACCACCAGGGTCTGGAAGGCTTAAACAATTGAAGCTTATTTCCTTGTGGTCAAAGATGAAGGCGCTAGGCGGCTTTCACTACCCCTGGGGCCTCTTTCCATGCCCGTCTTCCTGGGTCCTCTCATGGTCTTTTCCCTGTGCACACATTCCCAGAGCGCACTTTCTGTGCCCAAGATCCCGTAAGGACACCAAATTGGATCAAGGTGGACAGGACCGACCTCATTTAACCCTGCACCCTGTAGAGTCCTGTCTCCAAATACAGCCATGTGCTGAGGCACAGACTGTTGTCAAGTTCAAGTGTGTCTGAGTGTGAGGCAGGAGCAGAGAAATAGGTGTCTAAAGACAGGTGAACGTGTTGAGAGACAAATGGAGTGCGGTTCAGTCCCTAGCTCACCCCGGAGCTCAGTGCGTGGACAATGATAGACACTCAGTTAAGGTGCCTGAGTGAAGCCCCGCCTTATTCCATCTGCCCACTGGCTTCTCAGGAAAATCGTGTCACCTACAATGGCACCAGTTCTTTCTTAAGATAAATTAAATGACTTCTTTACTGTTCACTTTGTTCCTTAACCATTCATATATATGTATATACATAATAAGAATATATATATATTGTAAACAACTCTACAGTGGTGTGAGTATGTGACACACCCTCTCCACTTCTGTTGCAGGAGAGGAAGTGACTTCTGGGCCTGAGGTCGTATCTGTGGCAGAGACCCTGGAGTTTTCATGGCAGGCCCGCCCACCTGAGGCTGGCTAGAGGCACACCACCGCCTGCTGGGCTTACCCTCCTGAGCTCCCTGTGTTTCTGAGCTCCTGCATCTCATGTTTACTTCTGAGCTCTGCCTAACCTCAGGCACGTTTGAATTTTTATGGAAGTGTGGAGTGCTGTTCCAGATACATCGGTTATTGCTCTTTTAGTTTGTAATAATGGAAGATGGGATTGATCCCGCCCCCCGTTAGTTTATTCCTCTGAATTCTTCATTTCTGTATTTTGCTTTCAGTCTTCTCATTGAAGTTTTGATCTGTAAAATAATAATTTAAAGGTTTGTATCAAGTTTATTTGTGTGTGTGTGTGTTTGTGTGTGTGTATGTGCAAGTACATACATGTGTATGCATGCCTATGTGCACATGTATGAAAACTTGTGCAGCAGTGGATGGGTAGAGGTCAGAGGCCAGCTTATGGGAGGCCCTTCTCTCTTTCCACAATGTGTGGCCCAGCATTCAGACCCAGGTCATCAAGCTTGGTGGCAAGTCCCTTTACCCACCGAACCCTGTTGCTGGCCCCTGAAATCAGCTTTAAATGACTATCCAATGGTATATGTGCCCACAACAGTTTTATTTCCACATTTTCCACAAAATGAGAGGATTCTTTACTCAGATATCAAATGGTTGCATATCAGAGGCCATGAGGAGAACTCAAGGCAACACTGGAGCAGGATTCTCTGATGGCCATCACTAAACTGGAAGATTTCAGGCGATGCAGAGTTTCAGTGAACTGCACTGACCACCAATGCTATGTAATAAAACAGTGTGGTTCTTTAGTCTCGGTGACTTCAAGTGTCCATTGAAGTCCCATCCTGTTGGTTCTCAACCACACTTTTGATACTCTGCCTCTTTCCTGACTCACAAGCATGCCTTTCCACCTGCCAGAAACACTCTTTCCCATGCTCACTGGAAACCATCACTGAATCCAAATCAGTCCAGTGCTCTCCAAGGCTTCCGAGGAGCCTAGCTTCTCCCCCTGAGCATGTACAATACTGGTTCTCAACTGAAGTTTCATATGTCTGCTCCCTGCTCCTGCCAAAGGATGTCTTCTGCACCATGGGCCTCTTTGGCAGCTGATGGGGCTATACTAGAATCAAGGTTTCAATTCTGGAGAGGAAATGCCTGAGGTGTGATTTCGAATGCAAGAGAGGCAACACCTTGGGTGTGATCTCTCACAAGATACTGAAAGGACCAAGCAGATGCCATAACAGGCTGCTCAGTCTTCTCTCTGAGATCAGGCCTCAAGTTCAGTTTCCTGAGACTTGAGCAAGCAGTTTCTGGGAGGGCCATAAACAAAAGACATAGTCCTTGCAGTACCTTCCTTTCTGCACGTACTCTGTCTGCTCAAGGTTCAGCCAGGTGTTTACTGTCTGGGACCCTTCACCAACTTAGAGCTACGTGCATGGATCAGTGTGAACCTGTGAGGCCAGCCAGGCCCCATGGCAGCTCAAGGACAAAGCCTGGGACTTGTCCAGGCCTGCCCCAAAATGATAACTGTACCCCCCACCAGTAAATTCAAAGGTTACACCCTCACCCAGTACCACCCTGCTTGTGGTTTTTCCCTTTAAAAAACCCTCACCCTGAGAGCTCAGGGCCGTCCTCCTTCACCTGGCTAGCCAGTGTGTTGGACACGGACCAAGCCTGGGCTTATGGTAAACCCCTGTGTGTTTTGCATCGGATGGCTCTGTGGTGGTCTTGCTCGGTGGTCTCGCGATGTAGGCACAACAATGTAGATGGAACCATCTTTTTAAATAAGAAACACAGAGCCAGTTAAAAAGCCAAAGTTAAAAAGCCCAAGAGGTCAGAGCAACAGCTGAGAGCTGAGCTTACCCTTCACTGCCGCTGCTGTCCTCCTCAGCCAGAGAACTACCTCCTGTGTGTCTGTCTTCTTATAGACTTTCTGTTCTGCCTTCTCATTGGTTGTAAACCCAACCACATGACCTCCTCGTCACTGCCCATCCATACAGACCTCCAGATCTTCTATGGTTGGTATTGAGATTAAAGGCGTGTATCTCCATGCTGGTGGTATCCTTGAACACACAGAGATCTGCCTGTCATGTGATCAGGATCAAGGGCATGTGCTACCACTGCCAGACTTCTTCTATGGCTTGCTATTATCTCTGATCCCCAGGCAACTTTATTTATTAACATACAAATAAAATCACATTTCAGTACAAATAAAATATCACCACACAACAACACACAGCCATTTCATACTCTGGTTGAATTCTGCTATGAAATTCACACAGAATGTATGGAAGAGCCTGCTGCCTGAAGACAGAAAAGCCAATGTCAGCATATTGACAAAGAACAAACCTAAGGTCCTCCAGCATCACCTGGCCTGAATTCAGGACAGCCTGGGACCCAGATGTGCACTGGTACAGACAGACAGCTCGCTAGGCCGGCTTAAGGAGCAGAAAGGGGGTCTCCTAATACTTGAGAAATGAAACAATTTCATGTCACCCCCCCCCCCACTCTCTTGTGCCCCCAGATCCCAATCAGTTCTATGATGTCTGGGGTACAAGACCTCTCAGGAATTTTTTCAGAAAAAAGAATCTTTCTTGTGAAGAGAGGAGCTACAGATGTAACAGGGAGGGTACGCTGCTACAGGCTGCAGGAATATATCGTAAGAACTCAGCTGGTTATGGCAAAGTCACTACCTGGAGGGATCAAGGAATTCCTTCAGAGGAAGCCAAATTCCAAGGAGCATTTGGTGTTATTTGGCTTGTTACATATCAGCTGTCTTCTGTTATGAAAATCATGTGTGCCTTCATAGTTTTTCCAATTGATTTTTCCCCAAGAATTGCTAACAGTGTGGGCTGATCACTCTTTGGACATGTACATTCCAGGTATTTGGAGAACAGCCTCAGGAAAGGCTTCCTTCCCCCTAGCCCATCTGTTTCTCCCCTTTCAGCGCTGGAATCAGATCTCTCCCTTAGCCACGTTCAAGGACTAACAAAATAAAAGTCCAGATCACCACAAGCTAGTCTCCTGATTTAAGGTAAATATTCCACAAGGAGACACTGCCTATGTCAGGTGGACCTTAAGTAATAGCTTTACACAGTTTAGCTCAGACCCTCCTTTCTTACAGCCTTACTAACTTTATAGACCCCTAACTCCTTACCTAACCACTTCTAGGAATGTAGACTGAGCACACAGACCCCCTTTTTGATATACTAACCGGTCATTAGCACTCAGTTGACCTCCTCTTTTACCACTCCCATTTTGGGTTGTAAAAGAAAGCCTGGTGGTCACAGCCTGAGGAAAATTCTTACCTACCTTTATGACCCTGTAGAATTCAAGCCTGGTGACCTTGCTGGACCAGGGGATTGCTACTGCTTGGGTTTATAACTGGGTTCCTGGGAGATAAATATAGAGAGAAATCAGGCAAGAAAGGAGCTAGGCACTAGAACAGAACTGAAGCTGTGTATATAGGATGTTATGCCAGAGGAATTAAAGCAAGTGGACTATAGAGCTCGGTGTGCTGAGATTCTATTTCCCGACAATAGTCCTCGCCGTTAGTAGTTCTCTCTCCTGAGCCCCTGGGAAGTATTAGTATTAAGGCTGGTCCTCTAATATTATACAAGAGTGTGCTGGCTGGTTTTATGTCAACTTGACACAAACTAAGGTCCCCTGAGAGGAGGAGGGAACCTAAATTAAGAAAATGCCTCTAGCCGGGTAGTGATGGCACATGCTTTTAATCCCAGCACTCGGGAGGCAGAGGCAGGTGAGTCTCTGTGATTTCGAGGCCAGCCTGGTCTACAAAGCGTGGAACAGGCCCCAAAGCTACACAGAGGAACCCTTCTCAAAATAAATAAATAAATGAATGAATGAAGGAAAGAAGAAAGGAAGGAAGGAAGAGAAAGAAAAGAAAGGAAGGAAGAAAGAAAGGAAGAAAATGCCTCCATAAGGTCTGGCTGTAGGCAAGCCTGTAGAGCATTCTCTTAATGAGAGATTGATAGGGGCGGGCCCAGCCCATTGTGAGTGGGGCCATCCTTGGGCAGATGGTCCTGGGTTCTATAAGAAAGCAGGCTGAGCAAGCCATGAGGAGCAAGCAGTAAGCCGCACCCTCCTCTGTCCTATGCATCAGCTCTTGCCTGTGGTTCCTGCCCTGCTTGAGTGCCTGTCCTTACTTCCTTCAGTGATGAACAGATGTTCAAACCAAACAAGCCCTTTCTTCCCCAATTTTCTTTTGGTCATGGTGTTCCATCATAATAATAACCCTAACTAAGACAGGAATTGGTACTGGGATAGAGGGGTGTCGCCATGACAGACCTGACCATGTTTTTGGGAGGACTGTGGAAGTGACTTTGGAAATTTGGGCTAAAAAAGCTATTGAGTGTTGAGAGCTCAGCGGAATGCTCTGTAGGAGCCTGGGAGATAAGACTTTTGAGAGCAGTGCAGAAGGCCTGACTTTCGAGTTTCAGAAGGAAAGGAAGACTCTGCTGGGCCATTCGTGTGAAGAATCTGTGGTGTTTGGTCCGCTGGGGCTGAAGAGTCAGCCGTGATTAATCACAGCAGCACTGGAGTAAAACCTTCGCTTTCCCGGGACAATTGATGCTGGTCAGCCGGGGCTGAGAAATTAACGCTGGTTAAGAAGAGACCAGCATGGTTGAGGTGACATCTTCTGGGAAGTGTTTCCTCAGAGTCAGCATACAGAAGCTGTGGTCCAGAGGCAGCTAAGGTTGTACCCGGCACTGGCAGCTGAACTTGGTGGCGTGTAAGAGTCACCCAGGTGGTACTGGTTTTGAAGGTACGAAGGGGTCATGGAGAGCGGCTGAGGCTTGGACCTGTGGGGGCCAGGAGAGGCCATTGGTGAACGTGCAGCCCAGCTGCAGCAGAGAGCCCAGCATTTTGGAGATGCCAGTGCCGTGGGATGACCACTGAGAACAGCAGCAGCGGCGGTGGAGTGGAGCCCGCCTGAGCGTGGAAGACAAGCTGTGTGTGCTGCGGAGGATGGAACCCTAACCCAAGAGCTTGGAGGAGCCTCAAAGGTGAGTGGATCCCAGACATTGGATACTGAGTTATTTAGAGTTGGATTTGTTTTTTGCTTTGATCTGATTGTGAGTGAATCCCAGATAATTGGATATTGAGTTATTTACACTGTTGGAGTTTGGTTTTGCTTTGTTCAGATGGTGACTGTGTCCTGGTTCTTCCCTCTTGAAGTGAGAAGGTATTTAATTTTAATTTTTGCAGGAGCCCACACCTAAAAGACTTTGAACTTTTAAAAGATATTTTGGATTTGTTAAAGAGATTGGGTATTTTAAAGAGACTGGCAATTGAATGTGTTTGAA